ATATTTGTCTTTGAAATGAAGTGGAGTAAAAGTAAAAAGTTCCCAAATAAATAACTACTCAAGTAAAGTACAGATACTCAAAAAATGTACTTAATTACAGTAATAAAGTAAAAGTACTTTGTTACTGTCCACCACTGGGTATACATGGCAACAATAACTCTAAGTTAAAACAGATTGACTTCTATTTGTAGCTCAACACTGTTCCTGACAACTATGTTCAACAAAGCAGTCTTCTTCAAAAAAATAGCCACTTGCTCCAAGCCTCTATGTCAGGAACAGTTTTTCTCAAAGGCAAAAAGCAAGATTTCTTATGAAAGGTTAAATAAATATCTCACAGTTCATTCTTCACAAAATTAAAATAGAGCCTTCAAATAARGTAGAAACCCACTTGCTGCTAAAATACATCGTAGAGATGTGAAATAATAATTAATAATACATTTAACTTTATGCATTGAACTGTAATATGTATAATCCAATTGGAAGCCATTATTTAAGAAATGCTGAATCCACTTGGGAGAAATACATTTTTTATCTGACTGGATTGACAAATTAACACCTAGTTTAARGGGTGGAAGACTAAATCTGCTGCTGCCATGATGAAAATAAACTTAAAAATGTCATCATACACCACTATTAATTTAGCATTATACGATTGTTTTGACAGATGTATTACAAAGTTCCTGCTCATAGTGATTCCAGGCTGAATCAGGATAAAATTGCAGTTAGCTGCTGCCAATTGTGCTTAAATGCCCATAACATTATTTATTAAATCTGTAACAAGAATCTATTTGTGGTGTAAAACTTTACATAATAACTTTTACATGAGTCGCTATTAAAATATTTAGATTACACTGATAATATCAGCCATGTTTAAGTTTAAGAACTACTTTGGAAATGACCACTTGTTGTCTTTGAGTTTCTGATTTCTGTAAAAAACGAACCCTGTGCTTCTTTCAGAGGTTTTAACTCTTTAKGTTTTGATAAATAAACTAAAAACAACTGCACGCTACGACTAAACCATAGTTTTCAAATGTTAAATTATTAATGCTAAATGCTGTTGTCGCTCATTACAATAAACTAGAAATGGTTTTGTTGGCACRATTATTTAGAATTCTAGAATGTTCTTGGTTGCTAAATGTTTAAAAAGACTGTGACAAAATAAGGCAGTGGAGTATTAAAAAACAAACATTGAAATAACTGCCTTGTGTGTACAAAGACCCAAAGTAAAGTTATCACACGTCTGTTTTTCACAAATGTCTGATGTTCTTTTTGACATAGTATCCCAGAACATGACAGCCATCTTGATGGCATTAAGATAAATTCATGCTGACAAAATTGCACTGTGTAAAAGTAAAGAAGATTCAGTGGCAGAAACTTAATCCAGTCCCCACATTCATCTCAGAAGTGTTGCTGGGAAAACCTTGGATGCTAACCCAGAACAGACCACTCATGTCTCCCACAAACTATTCACTGTTCTTCAAGCTTGTAGTGGCTTTTCTTTAGCACGTCTAAGTCTCCATCTCAGGACCCCATGCCAACCTCTGTATAAATTTATAACTTTTTTCTTCCTGTCAAACACAAATATAAGTTGATTTGAAGATCATTGTTTTCTTTCCTTTTTTTTTCTTTTTCACCACAAAACCTCTTTGGTATACCAGACGGATCAGTTGTTTAGACAAAATGTACTTGGGTCTACAAATACCAAAAGCTCAGATTTCAGATTGTTTATAAAACCAGTCTGGTGTAGTAGATTGTGAAATTACGGTCATTTTATACATTTCCGACAAAATTAGCTAATTTGTTCAAATCAGTTTTGTGAAACAAGATATGTATAGTTGGATTGTTTTATGATTTTTGGAAATGGTCTGATCTATTTTTTTACTGTATATGTTAGATTTAACAGTTGTTAGCTGGATGTGAAAAAGAGAAACTCTGAAATGTTCTCTTTACACTGGGTTGTAGTATTAGCTGTACATCAGGAATATTACTTATTAAAAGATCAAATGCAGATAATTTAAAATGTTTTTGTTGTACACAATAAACTTGTCATTTGTCTTATTTTTCCTRATGGGTGAGTGTTTTGGTAAATGGTAAATGGTACTGAACTTATAGAGCGCTTTTCAAGTCCCTCCGGACCCCCAAAGCGCTTTACACTAACAGACATTCACCCATTCACACTCACATTCACACACTGATGATGGCAAACTACACTGTAGCCACAGCTGCCCTGGGGCRCACTGACAGAGGTGGGGCTGCCATGCAYCGGCRCCACCGGACCCTCTGACCACCATCAGTAGGCAAGGTGGGTGAAGTGTCTTGCCCAAGGACACAACGACTGAGACGGCTGGATGGGGGATCGAACCAGTGACCTTCTGGTTCCAGGACGACTCCCCTAACCACACTGTTTTGGGGTTTTCTCAGCATTTTTGCAAACAAGGCGATAGTTTTCTTAGTTTAGGTAACATAAATTGGAGATATGACAATAGCAGTATTCAAATTGCTAAAAACAACTTGCTGATACTTTTTTTTGTTAAATACTTAAAAGGCACAGAGTGTAGAATTTGTTGTTTTCAGCGACATCTAGTGGTTGAGTGTTTGAATCATCCTCCCTGGTCCTCCCCCCCACGCCGCCACCGCAGTTTGTCCTTCATGAGCCTTCGTAGACAAGATGGCGGTGCAAGATGGCGGCTGTCTGTAGTGGCGACCCGCGACCATGGAGATATAAACAGCTTTTTATAAGGTAAAAATAATAAAACAAGGTCTTTGTCTGCAATGATTAGACATGTTTTTATTAATGTCATTAGTGATTATCTCAATTTCAGCTAAAAGAATTGACAAAATCCTACACACTGTGCCTTTAAGATTTAAATTATAAAGTCAAATTGTGTCTTTCTGTTAAGCTAGGCTAATTGCTATCTTCCCCAGTAGGCCTACCTATGTTCTCCAGGCGTTATTAATGGGAGTCATAAAATCTTCWACTGTCTTTTAAAACAAATGAAAAACACACTGAATTACAGCAGGCATTTCACTGTGAAACATAAGAACCGGGGAACACAGGTAAACAGAAATAGCTTGTGAGTTATATTGACTAGATGCCTATCATGTGACTTTTCGTGCTCCGGGAAAGTGGCCATATTACTAGGGGCGAGGACAGCTCAACAGACACTACTGCTAGCTGGTGAAGCTGAATGTGGTAACTATGACATGTTACCATTTTCTCAGTTGCTAAAACATATTTTTTAAAACCATCCATCCATTTCTCTAAACCTGGCCTGTCCAACCTGATTCCCCTTAAGTCCACTTGCAACATGTGCGCCCAATGTACTGCAGACTGGGTCACCGGAGGTGTCAGAACCTCCTTTTGCTGGCTACTTCGAGCTGGTTCCTYGTCTGCCTAATCCAAAAGTACTTGTCAACTTGCCATCCTCCAGGGGTAGACAGCTGACAAGGGTTGATAGTGCCCAACTTTTCCTTATGTTAGGTGCTTTGCCTGTCAAGGATATTAAGCCTCATCTG